ACCAGGTATGCAGGGATGGTTCAACATTAGAAAAACAATCAATGTAATCCATCACATAAGTAAAACAAAAGACAAGAACCGCATGATCTTATCAATGGATGCAGAAAAGGCATCTGACAAAGTCCAACACCCATTCACAATAAAAAGTCAGCAAAATAGGAATAGAAGGGAAATTCCTCAGTATAATTAAGGGCATTTATACAAAGCCAACAGCCAACATCATCCTAAAAGGAGAGACTTTGAAAGTATTCCTCTTGAGAACGGGAATCAGACAAGGATGCCCTTTATCACCACTCTTATTCAACATTGTACTGGAGGTCCTAGCCGGAGCAGTTAGGCTAGAAAAAGAAAGAAAGGGCATCCAAACTGGTAAGGAAGAAGTAAAAGTATTCCTGTTTGTAGATGGTATGATCCCATACACAGAAAACCCCAAAGAACCCACAAGAAAACTACTGGAACAAACAGAAGATTTTAGCAAAGTATCAGGATACAAGATTAACACACAAAAGTCTCTTGGATTCCTCTACACCAACAAAAAGAACTTCGAAGAGGAAATCACCAAATCAATACCATTTACAATATCCCCCAAGAAGATAAAATACTTAGGAATAAATCTAACTAGAGACGTAAAAGACCTATACAAAGAAAACTACAAGACACTACTGCAAGAAACCAAAAGAGAGCTACATAAGTGGAAAACATACCTTGCTCATGGATAGTAAGACTCAACATTGTGAAAATGTCAGTTCTACCCAAAGCAATCTACAAATACAATGCAATCCCGATCCAGATTCCAGTGGCATTTTTAATGAGACGGAGAAACGAATCACCAACTTCATATGAGTTCACCAAAAGAGTAAAAAGACAATCTACAGACTGGGAAAAAAAATTTTGGCTACCACATATCCAATGAGGGTCTAATCTCTAAGATCTACAAGATACTGCAAAAGCTCAACAACAAAAAGACAAATAACCCAGTTAAAAAATTGGCAAAGGATATGAACAGGCACTTCACCAAAGAAGACATTCAGGTGGCTACCAGATACGTGAGGAAATGTTCACGATCATTAGCCATTGGAGAAATGCAGATCAAAACTACAATGAGATACCATCTCACCCCAACAAATCTAGCCTTAATCCAAAAAACACAAAATAATAAATATTGGACAGGCTGTGGAGAGACTGGAACACTTATACACTGCTGGTGGGAATGTAAAATGGTACAACCACTTTGGAAATAGATTTAGCACTTCCTTAAGAAGCTAGAAATAGAAGTACTGTAGGATCTAGAAAGAGAAGTACCATATAATCCAGCAATCCCACTCCTTGGAATATATCCTAGAGAAATAAGAGCCATCACATGAATAGATATATGCACACCCATGTTCATTGCAGCACTGTTCACAATAGCAAAAAGATGGAAACTACCTAGATGCCTATGAACAGACAAATGGATAAACAAATTATGGTATATTCACACAGTGGATGAAAAGGCAGAAAGGGATAGTAGCTGATTAAATGGACCTGGAAAACATAGGGTGGAAAGGGGGAGTGTGCTGTCACATTATAGGGATTGCAACTACGGTCACATAACAATATGTGTGTAAATTTTTGTGTGAGAAATGATCTTGAGCTGTAAGTTTTCACCTAAAGCACAATGGAAAAAAAAAGAAATCAAAAGACGCATTGCACTGGGCAAATCTGCTGCAAAAGACCTCTTTAAATGTTAAAAAGCAAAAATATCACTTTAAGAGCTAAATTGTGTCTGACCCAAGCCATGGTATTTTCACTTGCGTCATATGCATGAGAAAGCTGGACAATGAATAAGGAAGATCAAAGAAGAACTGATGCCTTTGAATTATGATGTTGGCAAAGAATATTGAATATACCGTGGACTGCCAAAAGAATGAACAAGTCTGTCCTGGAAGAAATACAACCAGAGTGCTTCTTAGTAGCAAGGATGACATCTCACATATGGATTGATGCAGTGGCTGTAACAATGGGCTCGAGCATAACAACGATGGTGAGGATGGCTCAGGACCTGAAGTGTTTTGTTCTTTTGTACATAGAATCGCTGTGAGTTGAAACCCACTCAATAGCACCTAACTACAACAACAAGCATACTGTCTTTATGTCTTCAAAACAGCACTGAGGGTTGAATGGCTCGTGGACACTTGTGCCCCACACCCGCCACCACTACCACTTAGTTCAAGATTTACAGCCTTGGAAACTCCATGGGGCAGTTCTGGTCTGTCCTGTAGGGTTACTATGTGTTGGAATTGACTTGATGGCAATGGGTATAAATTGTGTAGTAGCTGTTGATTTCAAATTAGGTTGCAGGACGTATATTTTTAAACTGTGCTTTCTAAAAATTTTCAAAGTCTCTGTATTTGGGAGAAGTGGAGTGTGTGTACGCATTGAAGCTTTAGTCCTCTTTTTCTCTTTGACTAAGTTGTTTGTGTTGTACTTACATTAGTCATAATGTATAAGTAAAGAATATGTCAGTTAGGGCTTTAAATATTCATAATATTGTACGGACTGACCTTATTAAAAGCATTCTTAAAATTTTTAATGTGAGAAAATCTGTATATATTAATATTTTTTTTACTGCATTTTGGATTTGTGTTTTGTCATTCTCACAGAAAACAATTTTCACTCAAGGTAATTTTTAAAAATATTTACAGATCTATTTACTTTAAGACACATTCATTCTTTCTGGGATTCTTGTAAGAAATGGATCATTAATCACAATTATTTTTGAATCATTCACAAATGCCAGCGTATTAAGATAAATAATAAGGCTAATTACTGTTTCACTGAGAGTTGTGATTGATTCAGCTTAAATACTAAAGCATTTTCTGTACTGTATTGACTAGACTTTTGATGCAGACCTCAGGACATTCAAACTCCTGATTTGCCTTTTGATAATGAAAAATATTATCCTTTTAAGTAAAAGACAGTCTTAAATATTCACCTAGTCAGTAAGTGATTAAAAAAAAATCCTTAGAATTGAGTTTAACGTATTTTTTGTGTGTGTATGCGGTTTGACTCAGCAGAAAGATTTGGAATATGTATAGTGGGCACTGGTCAGCTTAACTCTTTGAATTTTAGAACCCAAATCATAGGTTATTTTGACAGTGCTTTAAAGGTTAAATACCACTATTTTTAATATTGTTAAAAAAAAATAATGGACTATTAAGAAAAAACTGAATTTTTACAATTCTTTTTTTGTTTAGTAACTTTATCTTAAACAAAAAAAAAAAAAAACAGCAATTTCAAGGGTATTCTGAAAAGTGGAATTTTCTGTTAACTGAAAATTAACTATGTGTTTTGTTCAGTTACATAGCAGTAGATATTTAGCTTAGTGTGTGCACAATAGTAGGGATTTTATACATTTTTGTTGAATAAATACATGAATTAAAAGTTTTGGGCACAGGATACCTTACATGAGATATACCAAAAACCAAACCCATTACTGTCGAGTCGATTCTGATTCATAGTGACCCTGTATAGGGACCATATTAATTTCATATCTCTATTACAGCATCTATCACATTTTATTACATGTATTTCCCCTTCCTTTGATGCCAGCTCCCTCTCATTCACTTCATTATTCTCTACAGGATTTGACGCAGAGTAGATTTTCAGCAAATCTGTTTTAAGAGTGAAAAGTATATACAATTGCCTTGGTTACTCTCAGTTTTATATTAAGTGTGCTATACTTTACCAATCACACATCTGGTAACCAGAGCATCAGTTTCGGTATCAGCACATTTCAGAGAGTTTGCATAAAAACATTAAATTGAAGTTGTCTGCAATTAGAGTAGAGTTTGAGTTGAATAAGCCTACAGGCAAAATTTGAATTCTTCCTCAGAACTTCAGTGGAGCAGTCAGTAAGCCTTAAAACTCCGTAAGAAATGGAAATATTTAAAGAGAATTTTGATGAGTCTGAAAAACTAGAGGTCTTCAAAAAACTGTGGGAGTAAGTTTTGTGTACATATACAGTTTTTGTTTTGCATTTTAACGCTGGTAGAATAATTCTAGAGTAAATTGAATTTCAGAGCATACAGTGGCATGTTTAGGACTCTGAGAATTTGTAATAGATGCCTCTGGTGCCCCCATATCACATATTCTTGGTCCTTAGCTGTGATGGACTATTCAGTGTGGGCTCACCCAGAGTCCCATTTTATATGTATACAGCTCTCTTTTCTACTTTCTGCCTTTCTCCTGCACTGCTAGTGCCACTGAAGATGTCACCTTATTCAGTGCGTGAGAGCAGACTAGAAGTGAAGGTTGTTAATAATCCTCGATTAATGGAGAGTAATACATGCTCCAGCCTCCTGTTCTGCAGGTGGACAGTTCTGAGAAGTATTTTGTGTGCTTCTCTGTTGCCCATAGCAGCAGCGTCAAGAATGTACACTTGTATCGGCTTTTTCTCCTTTCTTGCTTCATTTTCACTCCCTCCCTCCTGTTTCCTGTGATTTCCTCTCAAATAAACTGGTTGCACCCAGGACCTTGTCTTAGATTGTGCCTTCTGTAGAATCTGAACTAAGAAGTCTTATAGAAAGAAAATTTGTATAAATGTGTTACACCTAGCTTTTCCCAGCATATTTGATCGTAGAACTTTTGTTTAAATCACTGCTATTACCATATCAAAGACCGTGATTTTGAAAATACTAATACAATCTAATTTTTATAGATTAAAAACCAGTCAGAGAGAATGTAAGTCCTCTTCCAATATCTCATTGTTAATGAATAAATTGTAGAGACAGAGCAAGAGCCCAGGTCTTTTAATTCTCTATATTTGATTATTAAATCATAATAAATTAAAATCTATGCATAAAGGAACTTGTAAAATACAAACTCATAGAAATTCAGTATTTATTTAGTTTAACTTCATGATTTTGTTTATACTCATCTTTAAATAATTTTAGATTATGCTGAAACTTGCAAGAGCCTGAACATGTTTTGAAGTTAATTTATTTTTTTCTTGTTTCTAGTGGGAGACTTTGATAAGATCTGGCGAGAACACTGTGAGGACGAGGAAACGCTTTGTGAATATGCTGTTGCAATGAAAAATTTGGCAGATAATCATTGGGCAAAAACTTGTGAGGGCGAAGGTCGTATTGAATGGTGTTGTAGGTGAGTTATTATGAACTTGTTATTATGAACAACACTTAGGGTTTCTAATGTACTCTTAAAACTCCTAAATGTAGGTGATACTTTTGTATTTTATAATTTATCAACATGGAAAACCAGAGATATTTTTAAACAGCTAATATCTTTTAAATACTTCTCCCCCTTGCCTCACTTTCCCTAGATTTTTTCATTCATCTTTTTTTTTTAAATCAAATTGTTTTCCTTTGACATAGTTTTTAATTTTCTATTTTAGCTTTTAAAAAATATTACTTTAAATATATTTAATATATTTAAAACAAAAGATTTAACACTTAATTCATCATTAATAAGTTACAATATAGAAATTTCTTTTGATAATTATCCATATTTGGAGTCAAGTAAAAGTGAGTATTTTTTTGTAATTTAAAATTTAGAAACATCTTAGAAGTTTTTAAATCCGGAACTTTCAGTGTCATTCAGGGTATTTGAGCATTTAAAACTGACTTTGTATTGACTTTGGATAATGTTTATTTTCACATGACATAAACTCTAATGTTACAAACATCAGCAATTAAATACTGCTAATCATTGACATTATTGTTTGAATCATTGCCCATGTGATTGAACTCAACCTCCAGCTTCCCTCCTCTGAGGTCATACTGGCCTGGCCAGTCCCCACCCAAGAGTCACCTCATTAGCATAACCTGTCAGGTAGGTTGGGAGCCCTCATAGATAACGAAGACACTTCAGTCACTCAGGAAATTCCAAGGGTTTACAGGTTACCTCTCAGGAGCAAAGAACAGAGTTGAACTGCCCCCATAGGATTTCCAAGAATGTAAATCTTTTGGGAAGCAGACTGCCATGTCTTTCTCCTGCAGAGCAGCTGGTGGGTTCAAACCTTCGGGCTTTCCATTAGCAGCCCTGCACTTAACCACTTCACCACCAGGGCTCCCCCACGAGAATGTTTTACATAGTTACATGTATCAGTCCCTTTTTATTGCTTCTAGATTTTGAGTGTCTTAGAAGAGCTTCCTTGATTCCTATACTGTAGGAATTCCTCTTAATAAGTCACTCATGTTTTTTTCTAGTACTTAAAAGATTTCATTTTTTACATTTAGACCCCTAACCTATTTGGAATTTAATTTGGAGTTTGTTGTGAAGTATAGCTCTGACCTTTCCCCCAAATAACTATCCATTTGCCCCAACATCATTTATGAAAAAGTTCACTTTCTCTCCAGTGATTTGTCATGATATTTATATGATATACCAAGTTTCTCCACATATTTAGTTCTGTGTTTGGACTTTCTGTAATGTTCGATTGGTCCATATCATCTATCCATGTGCTGTTTTACTCATAAAGATTTACAATTGTAGTGCTGTTCTATAATCTACCCCACCCCACCTCTACCACTACCACCACCTTCTTTTTCAGGATGTTCTTAGATGTTCTTGCTTGTCTTTAGAATCACTTTAAAATCAACTGATTTAACTAGAGAAAAAATTGTGTTTTTATTGGGATTTTAAATATTTGTATTAACTTGGAGAAAACGGCTATCTTCATAATGTTGCATCATCCTGTCCATGAACAAGGTATATTTTTCTATTTGTTTTGGTCATTTTTTGAGGGTATGTGGGGAGATTGGGATTTAGATGACTGTCGTTCATTAGCTTTTTAGAACTTGGAATTCTAACCCTTTAAATATTTTGCTGCCAAGTTTCTTGGTGACTATTAAGTTGAACCACATAAAATAGTGATTTTTATAGCTCAAGAACTGTTGAATACTGACAGTTATATGATTCTACTGAATAGAAAGGTAACAAGCTTTTTACTCTTGTGTTTCATGCCTTAGTTGAAATGTTACATGATAAAAACATTATTTTAGTATTAAGTCCAAGTTGATAAAAGCTGTATTTTTTATCAATTTTATGAAGGTGTAATTTTCGTATGATAAAATGCACCCATTCTAATCTATAGTTCAATGGGTATTGAAAATTGTTTACACTAATGTAACCACCACCACTCTTGAAGCTATACCTTGTTTTTACACAAATAATGCACGTGTTATACAGTTTGTTTGTTTTTTGCAAACCATGCACTCCCCTCGTGCATTGTTTTCCTAGGTGTGTTATAAGTGTGGCTGCATTATTTGCGGAAAATACGGTAGAATATTTCCATCACTCTAAAAAGCTCCCTTGTACTCCTTTACAGTCAGCCACACCCACAACCCAGGCAACCACTAAACTGCCTTCTATCATTGGATTATGTTTGTAAAGGCCACATTTTTAAATTGACCTCTGTATCTTATATGATCTAAAGTTTACTTACTTACCCAGTCTCACCTGGCTACCTTTCCTCTCCATATGAGTGCTGGCCTCAAGGCCTTTTCACTTGCGAGTCCATCCATCTATCAGTTTCCTCCCTGGCACTTTAAACTTCACATGCCCTGAACTGAGTGCATTTCTCCAGGATCCATTCTGGTTTTCCCTTCTACACCTTTGCTCATGCTATTTTCTCTGCCTGAAAAGCATTCCTCTCCTCAACTAAATCCTTCCTTGCCTGACTTATTCCTACTCATATTTCTAAAATCAGTTCATATTATACCTCCTGTAAAAAGCTTTTCCTGAGTTTGTCTCTCTTAGATCGGGTTAGGTGTTTCATTCATACATGTATGTGTGTGTGTGGATATATATGTGTATAGTTATAGTTATTATTACACATAATAATATATCTAGGCTTTACCTCTGTCAATTGTATTTTCTTTGTTGTTACATAATTATGTGTCTCCCTCACTAGTCAGCTTTTTGAGGGCAGCAACTATGCCTTTTTCAACTTGTTTTCCCATCACATTAATAAATGTTCAATGATTATGAGTTTCCACTTTTGTATATAATTAAAACTTCAACTCTTGTATATAATAAAACTAAATCCACATAGGTTAAGTTCAATAAGTCTTAAATAACAAGTACTAAGAAAAACTGAAGTTGAGCTGATGGCATCCTGTAAATGTGAGAGAGAAATGGGCATTGTCCCCTGACACCGTACTTCTACTTGCAGAAACCAGTTTTAAATTAATTCTTCTTTAATTCTTTCTTCTCATACCCTATGCTTTTGGAACTTCACTAAACAGTATCTGTGGAGAAAAATAGTCTAGCTTTTGTTCAGAGCATGAGCTATACATAATAATAATGCTTTTTATTTTCAGAATCTAAAGGGAAAGAAAATTTGTTTAGAATTTATTCTCCTTTAAGTAGCTTTGATAAGTATATCAGTTCATTGTTTTCGAGTGTGTAGCTCTTGTCAAATGTAATCTTCTCAAGGGCCAGAGTCAGGTGTCACTAGCTTCTTTTTCCTTGAAGTTCCTTAGCTTTTATAGCTAATAAATGTTCAAGTTGATTCTGTGGCGCATTTTTGTTATCCCATTTACTTAGTTATCGTGTGATACTCTACTTTTTTTTCCCCATTGCTGTGAGTTGATTCCAGCTCATAGCGACCCTATAGCCCAGAGTAGAACTGCTCCGTAGGGTTTCCAAGGAGCAGCTGGTGGATTCAAACTGCCGACCTTTGGTTAGCAGCTGAGCTCTTAACCACTGTGCCACCAGGGCTCCAGTACCCTACTATATTCACCCTAAAATTATATTAGGTACATTATAAATTCTAAGAAAATTATTTATAAGTATATGCCAGTCATCAGTTTCTGATTCTGGATAGCAGCCTAATATGGACTAAAGTTTGTAAGCTTAAAATGATACATCTTGAAAAATCTGCGTTTTAGTAGTAAAAGAATTGGGTCAAGCAGGAATGGTCTGATGAACAGGAATAATTTTCAAGTGGTATAAAAATCACTATTATAGTTAAGGAAACCCTGTTGCCATAGTGGTTAAGAGTTTGGCTGCTAACCAAGGGTCAACAGTTTGAATCCACCAGCTGCTCCTTGGAAATCCTATGGCGTGGTTCTGCTCTGTACTATAGGGTTGCTGTGAGTCAGAATCAGCTTGACAGCAGTGGGTTTATTATGTTCAAACCTTTGTTCTCTTTGAAGGGTATACCTTTACAATGTGATATCATTTCTACATGAACTAGATTTATATGTCCCTCTGTCAGAGCAAATAAAAAGATAAATCATCTCTTAATATGTTGACCACCTGACTTTATTATAAACCAGGAGGGATCTCAAAAACAATTGTTTGGTTGTGGCTCAAAACTACTGTCTTTCTGGATGCATTACTGAATTGTAGATTTATCTAAGCCTTGTTAAAGGAACTTATGTTTTAGTTAAGAATGGAGTTCAGAAAAACATACAGGCACATCTGTACTCTTTAAAAACCTTATTTATTAGAACTGTTATCATTCTTCGGCGTATAGTGATTTAAAAGATTTGAAAGTGCTACAAAATCATCAAACTTATCCCGACTTGATATTTTCAAAATAAAACCAAACGACCAAACCCATTGTGGTAGAGTTGATTCTGACTCATAGCGATCCTACAGGATAGACTAGAACTGCCCCATAGGGTTTCCAAGGAATGGCTGGTGGATTCGAACTGCCGACCTCTTGGTTCGCAGCCGTAGCTCTCAACTCTTGCACCACCAGGTCTCCCATTTTCAAAATTCTTTAATTTGAAAGTTTTCCATCTCATTTAATAAAGGTTAATGGTTTTTCATTTTGTTTTATATTCATACCCAGGATCTAAAAATATAACTATTTTGTCTTGTAGTGTATGCAGAGAATATTTTCAAAATGGTGGGAAGAGAAAAGCACTTGAGAAAGATGAAAAAAGAGCTGTACTCGCCACTAAGACCACTTCAGCCTTAAATATGCATGAGTCTTCTAAACTTGAAGGTCATTTAACCAACCTCAGCTTTACAAACTCTGAATTTATAACTGAGTAAGTATACTTTTCCTAGTTCAATTACTGACACTATTCTGAATAGCTGTGTTAATGTAAAATGGTGTTAATAGTTTACATCAAGTAGTAGGCAGTATGCTTGTTCCTCCAGTAATATGTTAGGCCAAGAAATGTAGATCTGTTACTATTATTCGCTAGAAAACTAACGTACATTTTTAAGGAATATCTGGAACTAGTAGTTCTGTAGCTTAGATTGTCCTCATGGAAAATAAGATAGAATACTTTATTAAATCTTAAAATAATGATTTTTATGGCAATACAAGGAATTAAAAGAGCAAAATCCAATTAAATGCTGTTTTATTTAAAATGGCTATATACTAAGACATTGCAAGAAAGGAAAAAAACGGAAGACTGTTAATAGAACCAATTGCCATTATTTCATTGACAAAATAGTTATTTTATGTACATAGGCACAAATTTTATTTTATAAGCTCATGAGTATTAGAATCTAATTATTAGTAGTATTAAAATTCTTTATATACCCTAGGGCCAGAATGATTTACAGTACTTGGTAATATTTTATTAATCTCTTGAAAATGCTAAACTTCAGTAGTTCTAGAAAAATTCTTGATAGACACTGAAAGCAAACCTTGAAAATCTTAAAACAATTCCAGATTCATAGATAGAAGTATAGCATTACGTGTGGTTAATTTGATTTTAAACCATGTTAAAAGTATTCTTGTTATTCGTAAGCAATTTCTTTTAAAACTTAATTAACATACCTTTGATTAGCTCAGTAGGAAAGGACAAGGCATGTTTTTGCCTTTGTTCAAAAGTTTCTAAAAAGTTCACAAAGCATAATGACTTACTAAACATCCTGTAACTCAGGTATTATGACCACTTTAAATTTTTAAAAATATTAACCAGTATAAAAAATTATATAGCTATAATTCTATCAAAGACAGGTACTCATGGAAGGTATCAGCTTTAGAATTTCTATTTGGTTCTTTTTTATCGTATCTGTTTCTTTATTGAGATTCCATATTTGCCAGTTCATTGTAATCATATTTTCCTTTAATTTTTTAAACAAGATTTTCTTTAATTCTTTGAACATATTTATAATAGCTGCTATGAAGTCTTTGTCTGCCAAAGCCAACATTTAGGCTGCTCAGAGTTAGTTTTTCTTTACTGCTTTTTCCTAAATATAGGTCACACTTTCTGTTTTTCGTTGCATGCTCCTTATTTATATTTTTGTCATTGGTGAAAACTGGGTATTTTTATAATTAGAAACTCTAAATTTGGATTTTTTCCCCAAGGAAATTGGTGATAGTAGTGCTTGTGGCTTTTTTTAGTAATTTGCCAGAATTTAATCTATGGAATCTGTCTCCTTCATGTTGTGCCTGTGCTGATGTCTATGCTCAGTTTTTTTAAATTTTTTCCCATACAAAAATTTATACATACATTGTTATGTGACTCAAATTGTTTTCCCCATACTGTGACAGCACACTCCTCCTTTCCACCCCTGATTCCCCGTGTCCATTCAACCAGCTCCTAAAGCTCTCTGCCTTCCCATCTCACCTCTGGACAGATGCTGCCCATTTAGTCTCTTGTATCTACTTGAGCTAAGAGGCACAGTCCCCACAAGTATCACTTTATGTCCCACGGTCCAGTCCAATCCCTGTCTGAAGGGTTGGCCTCGGAAATTGTTTTAGTTCTGGGCTGATAGAGAATCCCACGGCCATGCTTTCTGGGGTTCCTCCAGTCTCAGTCAGACCATTAAGTCTAGTCTTCTTACTAGAATTTGAGTTTTGCACCCCACCTTTCTCCTGCTCCATCCAGGACTTTGTGTTGTGTTCCCTGTCAGGGTGGTCATTGGTTGTAGGCGGGTAGCATCTAGTCCTTCTGGTCTCAGGCTGATGAAGTTTCTGGTTTATGTGGCCCTTTCTGTCTCTTGGGCTAATACTTTCCTTGTGTCTTTGGTGCTCTTCATTCTCCTTTACTCCAGATGGTTGGGACCAATTGATACATTTTAGAAGGCCACCTGCAAGCTTTTAAGACCCCAGACGCCACTCACCAAAGTAGGATGCAGAACATTTTCTTAAT